TTACAAAAATAATTTTTACATATTTATATATCATTTAATAAGCTTATTTTATTTTGTTAATTTCACCAAATTATATTAACATTGATCAATACCTTGACATGGTGTTTATTATTATTATCGAAACTTATTTAATTAAAATTAAATATTAAGTTTTAACTTGAATTGAGTGTTTAACTTTTACAAATTTAATTATCAATTTTTTTTATTCATGTAACAAGGTGACAAATGTGTTTAGGTTCCGTATAACACGAAATTATTATAGTCAATATTTATCTATTCAGGTTAAAAACATCTAAACACGAGACTATGATGCTCAAATTTAATTTTAAAAATTATTGCCAAATAAACTAAAAATATCTTTTGTAACAGTTTTATTTTTAATTATTTTTAATTTCTAGAATAATACAAAATTCATTATCCAATTAATATTAATGGCAGATATTTATTCGTGGTTATTTTGAATATTTAATTATTAAAATATAACACATTGCCTACAATTTTAATTAATTAAAAAAATGATTAGTAAAATTATTGTTATAGCTATTGCTAGATATGTTTACTAATTTCAAGTAAACAGATTTCTGTGTGAGTCCACCATTGGCGGCAAACAATTGAACTGGCTTCTATATAAATGCAAATAACATTTAGCATGTTACTTCATATTCATTTCAAAAAATTCAATTCATAACATAAAATAATAAATTACGTCTGTAGTGTGAAACGCGTATCGATGAACCAGGTTAGCCAGGGCCAATTTAATCTCCAACTGAGCCATGCCCAGACAGTTTCGAGGGCCGGCAACCCATGGAAAATACGTATAGGGATTGTGGGCTATGTTTTCCGCTAAAAACCTTTCGGTCTAAACACCTTCGGATCGGCAAAGTATTCCGGGTCTCGATGCATGGCGTAGCTCGGGATGTAGACCACGTGATCCTTTTTGACGGTAATACCGGTGCCCTTAAGCTCGTAGTCCTCGTTGGGCACCCTCTCTATAAATAAACAGGTTCCGTATAGCCGTAGTATTTCATCGATGACAGCTTCCGTGTATTTCAATGCGTTTATGGATTCGTACGAATCGGCACTTGATTTCTATTTTAATTGTTAATAATTGGTAAAAAATTGTTTAAATTTATTTTTATATAAAACTGTAATCAGGGTTTTTGTTATAAACCTGTATGCATAACATATGCAAATTGAACATTTAAGCTTTATACTGAAAGATTTATTTTTAAATGAATTCCTTAATATTTATACATTAAGATTTATTTATTTCATATTAATGAAGGCTTTATGTATATCCAGATAAATGTGAATAAATATTTACATGATCGTTTGAACATAATTATCGGTATTGTTTGTAACTTCTACATTTATGTGCTTATACAATTAAAGTTTTTTAAACCTCAACAAAATGTATTATCGTTTACTGTATAAATGAATATCTTAGGGAGCAATACCTAAAGTGTACCAGGAGAAATTTTAATCTTTATTTTTTAATATTATTTAGATGTAAAGTCTAAAGATTAAAGATTGTTCCTGATACCCTTTTGACATCGCTCTTTTAGATATATAGAAAAATGTTGAAATAATTTATGCAAACCTTTTGTCCGTAAAATGTATGAATTTCTTCGTATAGTTTTTTTGGACTTCCGGGTGTTTAGCAATTGTATACAAACACATGGATAGCGTGGCGGCAGTGCTCTCATACCCGGCCATTAAAAACATCGTTCATTGGGCTATGATCTCGTCGTATGAAAGGCCTGTAAATTAAATTTATAGCCAAATTCATTAAATACTATATAATAGTTAATTTGTTTTACATTTTAAAACTCATTTAATACTCACTTTTATCGGTCACATCATCCGTGGCCTGTATTTCCCGATATTTCTCTGCACTCTTACTATCCGTATATTCTTCGGACCCATCGATCGCTTCATTATTATCTCTCATTGAATCCAACATTAGTTGCAAAAAGTCAACCTTTTAACAGGACTTCCGGTTTCCAAAATACGTTTCCTTTCATCGATCAGATTGAGTGTAAAATCGCGAAAAAATTGCGTAACATTTTTGTCAAACGCTTATATTCTCAACATTTGCGCTACATTTGGGGCAAATATTATGATTGAAAATTTAACCAGGGATAATAAATTCTGGCTAAGAATTTTGCGGGAATTTTCTATGATTGGGTCATTTGGGTCGTCCAGAGCCGACACTTTCCGGCCGAAAGCCAATTGTATAGTAGACTCCATAGCATAGGCACCGGTAACTATTTTCATGTCTACCGGTGCCGAGAGATTGCCACTACTTTTGGCAATGATTTTGTCGATGTTGTCGTTCATAGTGTCCACGCATTCAAGGATTAAAGGAGTCATTCGTTTGAGTTTTCCGGTCGTAAATGTGGGCGACATTACTGTACGGATCCGTTTCCACTGAGAACCCCTCGTAACCACAATATTGTGTTCAAATATAGGGTCACCGCCCGTACGGGTGTCCTAAATTGCATAACAGTATTGTAGTAAGAAATATAAATAGTATAGTTTAGTTTTACTATTTAGTAGGCTACTATTTAGAAATTATTTTGAAATATATATGTATTACTGCTAATAAAATTGAACATGTTTTGAGTGTAAATTTTTATAAAAGAAATAGTACAAAGTTCATTTATCGGTTCCAACGATCGGTTATAATTAATTTTAAAATTATATAAAATGTTTATATGACTGACCCGTCTGTTAGGGAATATATGGAAGTCTTTGACCAAAACCTCGCGAATGAGTTCCGGATCCGAGAGATAGAGAACCGGTTTTCCCAACTCATAGACACCGAAACACTTGCCGTTACGGACGTAGAGATCCCGTTCCCAATCGANCTCGCGAATGAGTTCCGGATCCGAGAGATAGAGAACCGGTTTTCCCAACTCATAGACACCGAAACACTTGCCGTTACGGACGTAGAGATCCCGTTCCCAATCGAACCACTGTTTCGTGAGTCGTGTCCATAGACTGACACTCGCTGTCCGTACGCCTTGTTTGCGCCAATAGTCACACTTCCCGTCAATATATCTGTAAATATAATAATTATTTTGCAAAATATATAAAGATATTAATGCAATAAAATATTAAGCTAGATTACCTGGAAATCAAATATAATGCGATTCCCAAAATAACAGTAATAATCAGTGACCATTTAATTATTGATATTTTAAGCTTTGTTTGTAATGTTGGTAACATTTGAAAAAAAGTTCTATTAAATTGATTGTACTTTAATTCAAAATAATATTACTTAATGTTTAATCACAGATTAAAGTGTTTGTGGTATTTATACGATTTCTAGTGACCGTCATATGAAATAATGTCAATGTCAGATGACATTTAAATTATATACTGTAATGTTAAACAACCTTGATGTAGTTGAAACCTGATGCAATTTTAATACTAAAACTAATTGTATTATTTAAATAAACTGGGTTTGAAGTTATGTAAATCTCCAAGTTGAAAATTTGGCAACACGAGAGATATACAGTATATGTACCTATTTACCGTCAAACATGGAGGTTTGGCATGCCTACCTTAATTTTGGTTGCCTTAACCTATCGTCAGGAATATTGATTTCGTCTGTCATTACCTACTATTGAGAAATATATTTTGCCTATCAATTAGGGTTGTTGGTTAAATTCATTTTATTATTTATAATTATTAATATAATATATCATATATGCACAAGTACAGAGTTATATGTATAATATATTGGGTAAACTAACTATTTTAAATTAAAATTAAAAATATTTACAGGTATATTATATTAACAAAAATTACATTAAAATGTTGGAAATTTGTTAAAAAAATTAATAAAAATTTAATAAAGTATAATAATTTTACACATTTTAAGCTCGCTCACTTTTGGGGGGACCAGAGGGACCCGGAGGGTTCGGGAGGCCTAGTAGTCAGTACCGTAGGTTTGAGATTTAAGATGAGATTATAATTTTTAAAATTATCATGTTCATTTTACAATCAATTGTAAGTAATTATTTTCTAACTTTAATTAAAATCAGTTTATTTAATAATATTATAAAATTTATTTATAATATTATATTACTATACAGTATTTTGTGTAATTTACAATATAAAAAATTATTTCTGTTTAATTCAATTTTATACAAGTATACTTTGTACAAATTTTTATTTCAATCGCAAATGTTTTTCAAATTACATTTTTTCATATTAATCAACGTTTGCTAAATAAACATTTTGTAAATATAATTTTACAAACGTTTACTAATCCTTAAATCAACAGATTTGGGTTTTATGATACCAATGGCCACACCTAACTCCAAGGGTTTCTGTAGACCAACATAATAAATTAGCAAGTTACTTATTTAAAGTGTAAACCAATTAAAAAATAATACCTCTGTTGCGTAAAAAACATATCGACGAACAAGATTGACCAGGGCTAATTTAACCTCTAACTGAGCTAATCTCATACCCAGACAATTTCGAGGGCCGGCACCAAATGGTAAATACGTATAAGGATTATGGGCTATGTTTTCCGATAAAAACCTCTCCGGTCTAAACACCTCTGGATCGACAAAGTTATCCGGGTCTCTGTGTATGGCGTAGGTTGGGATGTGCACCACGTGATCCTTTTTGATGGTAATACCGGTGCCCTTAAGCTCGTAGTCCTCATTGGGGACCCTCTCAAGGAATATGGCCGCAGGGAATAGCCGTAGGGTTTCGTCGATGACTGCGTCCATGTATTTCAATGCGTAAAACGCTTCGTACGGATCGGCACTTGATTGCTGTTATAAAATATTTTTAAAAATTATTAAAACAATTTTATGTCAGGGTATTTAATTGCATAGTACGCCAAATCTCGATGTAAATATATTACAGTTAACTAACAGTAGGTTAATGTGTTTACATTTCATTGTAATATACTTGTATTAGGAATTGATATTCAATGCAATTAAATAGCTCATATTATATTTAATTAGCTATTTAGCTAGTAAAAATAATTATTTTCAAATTAACCTGTTCAGTAAATTTCGTGATTTCTTCGTATAGTTTTTGCTGTACATCCGGGTGTTTAGCGATACTGTACAAACACATGGCCAGGGTGGTGGCAGAGGTCTCGTACCCGGCCATTAAAAACAGCACACATTGGGATATAATCTCATCGTTTGTAAGACCTTTAAATTAAAATTATAAACACAAGTCTTTAAACTACTTGTAAAAGTAATTTATTTAAATTTTTAAACTCATTTAATACTCACTTTTATCGGTCATATCATCCGTGGCCTGTATTTCCCGATATTTCTCTGCACTCTTACTATCCGTATATTCATCGGACCCATCGATAGCCTGATTATTATTTTTCATTGAATCCAACAATAATTGCAAAAAGTCGGCCCGTTTTACAGGACTTCCGGTTTCTAAACCACGTTTTCTGTCGTCGATTAAAGTGAGGGAAAAGTCGCGGAAAAATTGCGTAACTTTTCTATCAAACGGTAATATTTTAAAAGTTTTGGCCACATTTGGGGCTAACAATATGGTCAAAAATTTAACCAAGCTAAATAAACTCGTACTAAACATTTTACGGGCATTTTCTATGATAGGGTTATTTGGTTCAATCAGAGCCGACACTTTGCAACCGAAAGCCACTTGTATTACAACCTCCATAGCATAGGCTCCGGTAATTCGTTTCATGTCTACCGGTGCCGAGAGTTGACCGTTATTTTTGGCGATGATTTTGTCGATGTTTTCGTTCATAGTGTCCACGCATTCAAGGATTAAAGGAGTCATTCGTTTGAGTTTTCCGGTCGTAAATGTGGGCGATATTACTGTGCGAAGCCGTTTCCACTCCGAGTCCCGGGCATTGCCAACCATTTTATCAAACATTGGGTCATTTGTAATGACCTTCTGTACCGATTATAAAGTATTATAAAATAAAATATTAAAACATAATAAAATTTCTTAAAACACTAGTAATAAATAAATAATATTTGTCTGTAATTATTAAAAATATAAGGCATAATAAATGCATTATTACTATTTGTAATAATTTATTCATAATATGCAGCTAGAGACTTCTTAAATTGAATGAGTATATTTTACAAATTATAAGTATTTTTTAAATAATAGAAACTGTAACTAATTTGTTACCAAAATAATCTTTTATACAGAATAATTTATAAAATACGAATTTGATACAATAAAATCTATTAGATTCTTTAACGATTCTGTATCATTGTAATTCGTTTAGTTTAGCTTGATAAAAATCACCCTATTTATATTTATTTTAAATAATAGTAAGCTGTAAAATTAGTTAAATTCTTAATTACTCCGTACAACCGTTGTAATTAATATTTACTTTTGGGTAAAATTCGTTGCGTTTATATTTATTTTCAAAGTTTTTAATTTTAATATACATATATATATATATAATGTTTATATGACTGACCCGTCTATTAGTGAATATATGGAAGTCTTTGACCAAAACCTCGCGAATGAGTTCCGGATCCGAGAGATAGAGAACCGGTTTTCCCAACTCATAGACACC